TCCTTTGTGCAAGGAGGAACAGGATGAGCACTGCCATAACCTTACAAAATGAGTTCCAGCAGGCCACTGGTGTATGTCTCTGACCAAACAATCAGAAACAAATTCAAGAGGGTGGCCTGAGTGCCCAACATCCTCTAATGGGCCCTGTGCTTACTGCCTGGCACTATAGAGCTTGATTGGCATTTTCCATTGAACACCAGAATTGGTAGGTCCGCCACTGGTGCCCTGTGATTTTTACAGATGAGAGCAGGTTCACCCTGAACACATGTGACAGATGTGAAAGGGTCTAGAGGAGCCATGGAGAACGTTATGCTGCCTGTAATATTGTTCAGCATGACCATTTTGGTGGTGGGTCAGTGATGGTCTGGGGAAGCATATCCGTGGAGGGACACACAGACCTCTACAGGCTAGAAAATGGCAGCCTGACTGCCATTAGGTATCGGAATGAAATCCTTGGACCCATTGTCAGACCCTATGCTGGTGCAGTGGGTTCCTCCTGGTGCATGACAATGCCTGCCCTCATGTGGTGAGAGAATGCAGGCAGTTCCTGGAGGATGAAGGAATTGATACCATTGAATGGCCCCCACGCTTGCCTGACTTAAATCCAATAGAACGCCTCTGGGATATCATGTTTCGGTCCATCCAACACTGCCAGGTTTCACCTCAGACTGTCCAGGAGCTCAGTGATGCCCTTGTCCAGATCTGGGAGAAAATACCCCAGGACACCATCTGTAGTCTCATTAGAAGCATGCCCTGTTGTTGTCAGGCATGCATACAAGCACGTGGGGGCCATACAAACTACTGAGTACCATTATGATTTGCTGCAATGAAATCTCAGCAAAATGCACTAGCCTGCTGCATCATTTTTTCACTTTGATTGTCAGGGTGCCTTTTAATTCAGTCCTCTGTAGCAGTGCAGTTGAGCAGTGTATATATTTAATATACATCCAACATATTTGTGATAATTCCCAATCACTGTGTTCTTGAAAGTGTAACTGAATGACAGAAGTCTTCAACTACCAGAGTGTTCAACCACACGGAGATGAATTTCACATTCACCAGATCCCTGTGATCGATAGAGCAGCCTGCAAGCATTAGGTATCACAATCCAGGATGTGGAACAGCTGGATCCAGTCTACTTATAGATTTCACTAGAAAATTTTCATTCACCAACAATGAAAAATCAAGAGCCCATATATACACACCCACACACTGTATATACACTATATTGCCAAAAGTATTGGACACCCCTCCAAATCATTGGATTCAGGTGTTCGAACCACCTCCATGGCCACAGGTGTATTAAATAAAGCACCTAGGCATGCAGACTGCTTTTACAAATATTTTTGAAAGAATGAATTGCTATCAGGAGCTCAGTGAATTCAAGTGTGGTACCGTGACAGGTTGCCACCTGTGCAATAAGTCCATCTGGGAAACTTCCTTCCTACTAAATATTCCATAGTCAACTGCTAGTGATATTGTAAACAAAGTGGAAGCAACGGGCAACAACAACTCAGCTACGAAGTGGTAGGCCACGTAAAATGACAGAATGGGGTCAGTGCATGCTGAAGTGCACAGTGTGCAGAAGTCGCTAACTGTCTGCAGAGTCAATAGCTAAAGACCTCCAAACTTCATGTGATCTTCAGATTAGCACAACAGTGCATAGAGAGCTTCATGGAATGGGATTGGAATGGGTTTCCATGGCCGAGCAGCTGCATCCAAGCCTTACATCACCAATTGCAATGCAAAGCGTCAGATGCAGTGGTGTAAAGCATGCTGCTACTGGAGTCTTGAACAGTGGAGATGCGTTCTCTGGAGTGATGAATCACGCTTTTCTGTCTGGCAATCCAATGGATGTGTCAGGGATTGGCGGTTGCCAGGAGAACAGTACTTGCCTGTCTGCATTGTGCCAAGTGTAAAGTTTGGTGGAGGGGGGATTATGGTGTAGGGTTGTTTTTCAGGGATTGGGCTTGGTCCTTTAGTTCCACTAAAGCATCAGCATAACAAGACATTTTAGACAATTTCATGCTCCCAACTTTGTGGGAGCAGTTTGGGGATGGCCCTTCCTGTTCCAACATGACTGTGCACCAGTGCACAAAGCAGGGTTCGTAGAGACATGGATGAGCAATTTTGGGGCGGAGGAACTTGACTGGCCTGCACAGTCCTGACCTCAACCCAATAGACCACCTTTGGGATGAATTAGAGTGGAAACTGCGAGCCAGGCCTTGTCGTCTCACATCAGTGCCTGACCTCACAAATGCACTTCTGAAAGTATGGTCAAACATTCCCATAGACACACTCTTAAACCTTGTGGACAGCCTTTTTAAAAGAGTTGAAGCTGTTAAAACTACAAAGGGTGGGTTAACTCAGTATTGAATCCTACAGACTAAGATATGTCATTAAAGTTCATATGCATGTAAAGGTAGGCATCCCAATACTTTTGGCAATGTAGTATATATACACAGTATATTTTTTTTTAATTTTGTTTATATGTTTTTCACAGTGTTACTAGTGATTACTAGTGATTACTGGTGTTACTAGTGATTTTAGCACTATATTGTTTGATTACCTTATGATGTTTTCTTGATACCTGACCTACCACATGCTACATTGCCTTCTGGTACATTTACCAACTTTGAACCTCTGTATGCACTGGAATTTACTCAATTTCCCTAATGTGATTTGAAAGTGCTCTATTTTATTTTTGTTTGCATTTTCGTGTTTTGTTCCATTTATATTTTGTATATCTGGCTCGATACAACAGCTGTGAATTGTCTTTCACAATTTTTATACAAATTATCTTGGATGTATCCACTGCATGCTGGATTTTGTACCTGTTTCACCTCTCTTTTTAATAAAAAAAGGACAGACAATATGACAATATTCACCTCCAATAGAATTCAGTAGGGTATACTGCTAAGTTTAGGGTTTGCAGAACCTGTACTAAACCAAAAACATTGCTTGGTTTGCTCATCCCTACCAATACAGTACAACAGGGCACAATAGGGAGTCTGTTTATAAATATTTTGACACAAGATTCATCCAAAATTTACATATTTCTTTCATAGAAAAATGTGCAAATCTCGGTAAAAATATATGACAAACAGTAAAGCACTATCAATGCAAAGACCCCAAAATCATTAATCAAATATCCAAAATTTTATAGAACATTTGTTTAGCTCATTACATGAAAGCAAGGTTAATAATGTAACTTAGATTACAAAGTCTTCAGTTTTACTCAAGTTCATTGATGTAAAAATGAATACACCCCACAACAAAAACTACTGCATTTAGCATTTTGTATGACCTCAGTGATTTGTAAGGACAGCACCAAGTCTTCTAGGCATGGAACGAACAAGTTGGTGACAAATTTCAACATCTTTTTCAATTCTTCAAAACAACCTCCTTTGGAGCCTGGATGCTGGATGGGGAATGTTGCTCAACTTGTCTCTTCAAAATGTCCCATAGGTGTTAAATTGGGTTCAGATCAGGAGACATACTTGGCCACTGAATCACTTTGTTCTTATTTATTTTATTTCAGGTACTTCTATAGTGCTGTCAATTTATGCAGAGCTTTACATATATGTTGTACATTCACATCAGTCCCTAACCCTTTAAGGAGCTTACAGTCTAAGGTCCCTAACTCACATTCATACATACACATACTAGGGCCAGTTTAGACAGGATCCATTTAACCTACCAGCATGTCTTTGGAGTGTGGGAGGAAACCCACGCAGGCACAGGGAGAATATGCAAACTCCAGGCAGGTGGTGCCGTAGTTGGGATTTGAACCAACAACCCTAGTACTGCCAGGTGGAAGTGCTAACCATTTTAGCCACTGTGCTGTCCTTCAGAAATGCAACTGCCTTAGGTGTGTGTTTTGGATCATTGTCATGTTGGAAAAGTGCACGATGACCAAGGGCACAGTGTGATGGTAGCATCTTCTCTTTCAATATAGAGCAGTACATCTGTGAATTTATGGTACCATCAAGGAAATGCAGCTCCCCGACACCGCCAGCACTCATGCAGCCCCACAGAAGGACACTGCCACCACCATGTTTCACTGTAGCCATCATACATATTTATTTGTACTCCTCACCTTTGCGAAGCCATACAGTTTTGAAGCCATCAGTTCCAAAAACATTTATCTTGGTCTCATCCTTCCAGAGTAGAGAGTCCCAGTAGCCTTCTTTTTCACCATGGGCCCTGGCAAATTCCAAGCAGGTTTTTTTTATGCATGGGCTTTAGGAGAGGCTGGTGTCATGGGAAACAAACAATATCGCCAGTTTGGTTTTCTACTTCTTTAGCTAACTGCAGTGAACCTGCGTGGTTATTTTTTTCATCCCTTCTCATCAGAAGACGCTCCTGTTGAGGTGTTAACTTCCATGGACAACCTGGATGTCCCTGCGAGATGGTTGCAGTTCCATCTTTGTTACATTTTTTTATCACTTTTGCCTTGTGTAAAAAATACTTTTTTGCGTGTGCAAATTAACAAATCCTGTTTTGCAATCAATGGCCTGCATTTGTCAGAGTGTTTTGTAGTATAGTGTCCCATAGAAAATGTTGATTCTGAAAGGAAAGTAAAGATTTTCTGACAAAACTGTTTGGGTGTACCCATTTCTACTGAGCACTGTGTGGATATATATATATATATATATATATATATATATATATATATATAGTGACATTATGAAAGGTGAGGTGATTGATGGACGCTTTGTGCCACCTCACATTCATATCTAGGAGACTAAAGTCCAGTCCGGGTTCTCCAGGCCACTTTGGCAGGGTTGGTTGATTTTGCAGGCCACTGATGACTACCACCAGGTGGTATAAATAAAGCAGGATTGGAGAAAGAAGTTGCTCTTGGCCTGGGACTTAGAGAGCCATACATAAGAGAGCTGTAGATGAAAGAGTTTACTTTGTACAAGAAAGGAAAAGGTTTGTACACAGTTTTGTTCTGTTGCTGACCGGGAGAAGCCCTTCACCTGTGAGATAGGAATCTCTTCTGTTTAGTTAGTGAGGATGGTGAGGAATTATTTTCTGTTTTGTTTTGTTTATGATGCATACTACTTTTTAAATAAACTGACTACAAGTCAGATTAAGAAAGACCTGCTGTCTGGACTACCTTTTTCACAGGGAAGGTGATCCCCCACAGGAGCAGACTGACCATTTGGAAACTTGGGCACTGCCCGAGGGCCCGGGGTCAGTAGGGGGCCCCATGAGATGCCCCTGGTATCTTTTTCATAGGCTTTTTTGAGTTTGACAAAGGACACAGGGGCCCCTATTGCCCAGGGGCCCCATGAGTTGTCAGTCAGCCCCTGATTCCCTACTTGAGCTAACCCCCACAAAGTACTGTATACACACCCATTTAGATTAGTGTTTATCATTTATTGATTTGGGGTCTTTGAACTGATTGCGCTTCACCGTTTGTAATATATGTTTCCTGTTGTAGTGTGATGAGTGCACATTTTGTAGTGATAGCTGCTTTCTGATTATTTAACTTTATTTTTTTATATTTTTGAATAGCTTGTGGGGATTTTATTATATAATCCTGTGTAAAAGCTGAGTGATGTATAACTTAGTAATGTATAAACAGATTGCTAGCAGTGTATAAATAGGGTCACAGTTAGGTAGGTTAAAAAATGACAATCAATTGACAAGTCAATTGAGTTCAAACAATAGAAAAATGAATGAATGAATCAAATCATTCAATCAATAACCTAGATATACATATACCTTAACCTATATTTGATAATGATAAAGGCAGAGAACCCTTGAAAACCCGTGAAAAAATTATGCAGCAGGCTAGTCCATTTTGCTGAAATTTCATTGCAGCAACTCAACATGGTACTCAGTGATTTGTATGGCCCCCCATGTGCTAACAACATCGGGCATGCTCCTAATCAGATCACAGATGGTGTCCTGGGGTATTTCCTCCCAGATCTGAGCTCCTGTACAGTCTGAGGTGCAACATGGCAGCTTTGGATGGATCGAAACATGATATCCCAGAGGTAATCTATTAGATTTAGGTCAAGTGAGCATAAGGGTCATTCAATGGTATCAATTCCTTCTTCCTCATGGAACTGCCTGCATACTCTCACCACATGAGGATGGGCATTGTTGCACACCAGGAGGAACCCAGGACCCGCTGCACCAGCGTAGGGTCCGACAATGGTTCCAAGGTTTTCATCCCCATACCTAATGGCAGTCAGGGTGCCATTGTGTATCCTGTAGAGGTGTGTGCGTCCCTCCATGGTTATGCCTCCCCAACCATCGTTGACCCACCACCAAAATGGTCATGCTGAATGATATTACAGCAGCATACCGTTCTCCATGGCTTCTCCAGACCCTTTCAAGTCTGTCACATGTGCTCAGAGTGAACCTGCTCTCGTCTGTGAAAAGCACAGGACGCCACTGGCAAACCTGCCAATTCTAGTGTTCAATGGCAAATGCCAATTGAGCTCTATGGTGTCAGGCAGAGAGCACAGGGCCCACTAGAGGACATCAGGCCCTCAGGTCACCCTCATGAAGTATGTTTCTGATTGTTTGGCCAGAGATATTCACACCAGTGGACTGCTGGAGGTCATTTTGTAGGGCTCTGGCAGTGCTCATCCTGTTCATCCTTACACAAAGGAGCAGATACCGGTCCTGCTGATGGATTAAGGACCTTCTACGGCCCTATTCAAAAGACAAATCTGACAGATTCCACGCAGAACTCCAAAAATGGATTGGACAAAATTATTGGCACTTTTTCAAAATTGTAAGAAATAATTGCATTCCAAGTTTGTGATGCTCCTGTAATTTATAATTAAACTCACCAGTATCCATTAACAGATCTTATTATTCCTGTTTCCACTGTGCCAATATTTTTGGCCATATATATATTATACACATACACACAAACCCTAGAGACTTTATATTCAAGAATTACTTATAAATCAGTTAATATCCAGTTCCACATTTAAACCCTTGGTGCATAACATGTCCAAAAAGTAGATTCATTTGGTTTCTTCCTGTGAGATGCTGCTCACCCAATTAATATCTCTCCAATAAGGTCACAGACTTTCATTCCCTCATAAATATATGGTGCTAGCATCCCTATTGTGCATTTTCCATAATGTAATAACATATTGTGGTTCTTATGCCCGATTTCAAAATTGTGTATATAATCAGAGATACGTTTACTCAAAGGCCTTTTAGTATGACCTATATACTGTAGACCACAAGGACACTGCAGGGCATGTGTAGTATCACACAAAGCAAAATTGTGTATATCATACATTTTGCCATTATAAAAGGAGGAAAATGTGTTTCTCCTTCTCAAGTTGGATCTGTTGACTTTACAGTCCTTGCACCTCCCTCAGGCATAATAAAGGAACAATTACAAACAAACTTATTCTCCCTGGAAAACAGACATATAAGAGGCAATATGATCACAATATACAAATCCCTGAATAGTGTCTTTAGCATTGTGAGGAAACAATGTAATCTTTGGTCTCTAAAAAAGACATGCAACCACTGAAGCTGGATGAGAAGCATTTCAGTCCCAAGCTACATAAGGTGTTATTTACTGTTAGAACAGTAAGGATGTGGAGTTCTCTTCCACAGTTGGGGGTGTCAGCAGAGAGTGTAGATAAATTCAAAAAACGTTTATGTCACTACCATTTTCAATATCCCTATATTATGTATTCACTAAAAAACACTAAACACACACACACACACACACACACACACACGTTGAACTGGATGGACTGGTATCTTTTCAACCTTGCCAACTATGTGACTAAGGATAAAAAATATGCCATGTTGTCCCTGTATACATCCCCAATCCTGTATACTGTGTAACAAATATATCCATAATAATAATAAAAAATATACTGTGCAATAGTATACTCGTGAAATGTATAAATACACAAAAAAGTGTCCATCAAAAGATAAGCACAGTGTCAACCACAGTTGTGTCTTCAATTTAAAACTTCAGCATATCCACCACCTAGTGGCACACAATCAATTGCATAGAGACTAAGACCCCAAAATGCAAGCGGTCTTAGAAAGCTTTATTTTGATGGACACTTTTTTGTGCATTTATAAATCTTGGTCACATGTATACACTGAAGAATGACGCAATTGCACAGTGTATTTATGATCATTATCATGGATATGTTTCTTGCACAGTATAGTTATTTTCATTGATTTTTTTAGCTGGCTGATTTGCACTAAGTTTATATCATTATCACTATCTTTCTAAAGGGACAGCACAACATGTTATTTAATCATTGCTCGTTGATCAGAGGTATTGCTGTATTCAGATACCAGTGTCAACCACTGTGTTTTGCATTGCATTTTCTTTGTTCTGTTTGCAGTTTTGCACTGAATGAAGTTTTTTTTTTATTTTCAACTACTATTTGTGTAATCACAGCATGACCAGCACTTTACTATCCAAATAAGTGACAATTCACATTGTGCCTGGGGCATGAGTCATCTAAGGCACCTCAGGCTATGCATAAGTGATTTTTATGCTAATTTCCTATGACCACCTTTGAACAGTAATAAATGCACTTTTTTTCTTGACCAACTCCACTGAGGTTGTGGACAGTTATATACTGAATTTCATACTCCTTATTGCTCCTTACACTGTCACAAGTCTCTATTTGCAGCATCTAGTTCCCCTCTCAAATGTTGGACTGGTAGTCATGCTTTTGTAGTTTGTCTGTTACAGGCTTGGATGCTTGGACAAAGTTGCAATCCATTTGAGATCTGGTATATATGTACTCAGCAAAGAAGACTTGGAAGAAAGCACTGCAGATATAGTGATAGCTCAGGAAAACGTCATCCTTTGCCACTTACTATAAGTATTTTTTAGTGTCATTATTCATATGCAAACACTAACATTGTGATTGACATTTTTTAGGGAGATGACTAATTATATACTCTGCTGGGAATTAGTAATTGCTGAGTCTGGTCTATTCTTATTGAGTTAGGCTGTTTATAGGGTACAACAGAGAACTTAATGGCATTGCCATAGGAGGAATAGCTGAAGTTGTAAATTTTGTGATCTTTAAAGTTGAAGTTCACTCAAACACTAACTATACTTAAATCTACTCAAACCCCCATTCTAAGCCTATATCTCCCTGTAAAATAACAATCTATATATTTACCTACCAGGTGTGTATAAAATGTTTGGTGCATGGTATCAGAAAAACAAACAAAACAGAAAATACAAACAAATGACCTTTATTGGCCTTCATAATAATTGCCATCCCACACAACACACTTTTGGCAATGTTTTTAAAGCTTCTGGAAACAGTCAGCAAAGGCATCTTTACTAATCGATCACAGAACTACTGTCACTCTTTCTTGGACTACCGCCACTTTTGCAAAATGTGCACCTTTCATGATGCTTTTCAGGTGGGAAACACCCCACCTGAAAGGCACAGGCGCCAGATCAGGGGAGTACGGTAGATGATTGAGAACAGGTACGCTGCACTGGGCCAAGAATTGCCACACACGGATCACACAGTGCACAGTCACGTTATCGTGAATCAACATCCACTGTTCAGTCCTGTGCAACTCTGGCTGAACTCGACGAATATGTCGTAGCAACCATCCCTAAACTTCCTCATAGAATGTGGCCTTCATGGTTTGACCTGTAGTAACAAATTCCTTATGGATGATGCCATTGTTGAAGAAAGTGATCAAATTGTATTGGCCTTGAACTTTTGCAGGCGACTTTTTGGGTCACGGGGAAGACAGTGAGTGCCATTTCATTGATTGCCACCACTTAGATTCTGATCGAACTGGTAGCACCAGGTCTCATTACCTGTGATGTTGGTTTGCAGAAAGGATGGGTACTGGTCACACATGATAATGAAATCTCCAGAGGTTTCCATCTGTTTTGCTTTCTGTTCATCTGTAAGCTTGTGCGGCACAAACCAGAAACAGATCTTCCGTTTACCCAAGAGTCACCGTTTTTTTAATTGAATTCAATTGAAAAAAAAATGTGTGACCCCTGGGTAAAAGTTGTGTGAATTTTACAATAACATTTATAAACAGGCCCTCTTATTGTTAAGTAATGTAATTTGGATAAGAACATCCATGCATGAGAGTGTGTAATTTGTTAAAAACAAAGCAGCAAAGCTTTGTCATCTAACTATGATTAAAAACTGCAAATTAGGGCAAAATAGGGTCAGCATTTTTACTCTTGAATATGTTTTTTTAACGTAACAATAGGGATGAGCTGTCTGAACTAAGTCTGAACTCATTTTCTGACTGAATTTTTGCTTGGTGAGATTCCTCCTAAATATACATACCCAACCATAATCCATGATAAAAGGTTTGGTATGATATCAAGGGGGACCCCATGCAAAAACAAAAAAAATCATCAGGAAAAAGGATCTTGTGGAGATGAAGGAAAGCTGATAGAAGCTGTAATATATTGGCAATTTAAACTGCATTTTTTCTTTATAACTGTCAGTTTTGTTATAGTTGGTAAGGTTGAATATAGACAGTTATCCATACAGTTAAAACCAGTGTGTGTGTAATATTTTCCATATCCCTGTCCATTGCATTCACTAAGAAGTACATGCATCTAAAATTTGTTTGAATGTATCTATACTCTCTGCTGACACCACCAACTGTGGAGGAGAATTCCACAATTCCACAGTAAAGAGCCCCTTACATAGTTTAAGATTGATCCAATTTTCATTCAACTAATTGTGTTACCACGTCTTCTTTAAATACCTAAGATTAAATAGTTTCCTCGAAATGCTAGAGTCACCATTCAAAGATGTTTATATTGTGATCCAGGGGCGGACTGACCATTTGGAAACTCGGGCACTGCCCGAGGGCCCGGGGACAGTAGGGGGCCCCATGAGATGCTCCTGGTACCTTTTTCATAGGCTTTTTGGAGTTTGGGCAAGGACACAGGGGCCCCATGATCCCCTATTGCCTGGGGGCCCCATGAGTTGTCAGTCTGCGGGAATATGATGTTGTGATCATATCCCCTCTTAAGTGCCTCTTCTTTTCGTTCCTTATAATTGATGTCCTCTGGCCCTCTTATTAGATGTCTTGCCCTTCTCTGGGCTCTATCCAGTCCAAGCACATCCTTCTTGAGGTTTGGTGACCAAAACTGAATTGCATACTTAAGATGTGACTGAACCATTTGTAAAGTGATAAAATTATAGTTGTATCTCTTCAGTAAATACCCTTTTTCCATGCATGCTAAAAATCTGCTAGCCATGCTTGCCAAAGCCTTGCATTGCATGAGTCCGTGATGTACTAGGATTTCCAGATCCTTTTCCATATTTGTTTCCCCCAGAACTCCTCCCCCTGGTGAGCAAGCTGCATTCATATTTTTAACTCCCAAGTGCATTACTTTACATAGTCTACAATAAAAACTAAATTTACCTTTTAAAAAAAACTATAAACGTAAAAATGTGCTTTAATTATTTTTTTCTTTTTTTTAGGAGCCTGTGAAGCATTGTACCCACAATCAGCAGATCATCGGTGCAATGCAAGGCTCCTTCAGAATGTCAGTAGCATTGTCTGCCTGTGCCTCTGATATGGGCAGGCAGTTACTGACGTCCAGAAATATCAATGAGCTACAAGAGTGCTCACCAGCACCCTTGTAATTAATTGAGAACCATAAGCTGTCTACCGCAATGGTTGATGGTAGTTGTAGTTCATTCATTCACAGAACTATGTGAATGAATGAAAAGAATGTGTGGGCAGAGCCCTGCACAGCCAGGCTGTTTTTAAATTGTGACAGTGGATGTGGGGAGAGGATCCCCCACCTGCTGTCACAATAGGGATCAGGTCGGGGAAGGCGACAGGTGATTTAGTAACATGTTATATGTTACACCCTATATATGGATATAACATGTAACATGTTACTAAAGGTAAACGTATCTTATAAATTTCATGTGCAATCTAGTTGCCCACCCCTCTATTTTAAGTAGGCCTTCTTGTGAAAGGTGCTGCATCCTCTTGTGAAGTTATTGCCTTGCTTACTTTTGTATCATCAGCAAACACTGAGACTGAACTATTATTTCAGCCTCTATATTATGTATGAACAAGTTAAACACATTTTTTACCTAGATAGAGCCCTGGGGTACTCCGCTCACAACTGCAGACCAATCTGAAAATATGACATTATCACTCTCTGGATGTGCTTCTGCAACCAGTTTTCTATCTAGGTACATAAATGCCAAAAGACTCACCCTAACTTGTAAATATTTAGTGAAAGATGCACTATGTCCACAGGCCTTCCTCTTGACAAAATTACAGCTTACCTCCTCAAAAGAATGGTAAATGGTTGATTAGGCAATAATGGTCATTCATAAATCCATATTGGTTACTACTGATTATACTATTTTCATCAGCAAATTCTTGAATATGGTCCCTAATCATTACTATTGATGTTAGGCTGACTGGTTTGTAGCGTCCAGGTATATATATATCTCTATCCTTTTTTGAATATTGGTGCTACATTTGCTTTTCACCAATCAGCTGGTACCATTCAGTCAGTATGTTGTCCTTAAAAAGTATGAATAGTGGTCTAGCTATAACATGGCTAAGTTCCTTAAGAACTCTCAGGTGTAAACCATCTGGTCCTGATCATTTATTCACATTACATTTTTCTAGTCTTTGAACATTAGTTTCTGTCAGCCACAAGGGTATATTCAATATACTGTTATTACTATTACTGTCTTGTTTATTATACCCCTCCTACAGAGGGGGGTTTATATACAGTACCTCGTACTGATGCACCATTTTAGAAACAGATCAAGGGCATACTCCAGTCATGTTTTATGATACAAGTCTGCATTTTTAATGTTGCCTTTTAAGCATCAATAAAATCACTGCTTACCACCAAATGTTTTTCAAAGATTGTCTTTTTTTTTACTTTGGTAGATGTCCCCCCAAGAAAGTGTCCATTCCCCATGCCATTTGTTTGACAATCCCTTGCCTATCAGCCTAGAAAATGGCCTTTTACTGTTTTGTGACTCCCAGTGACTTTTGTGGGGTTTGGATTCCACACCTGAACTTCAGTAATGTATGGTGAACCTGCCTCGAACCAAACCTATGTACGTTTGGCTGATCACTTTGCACTGAATCAATAAAGACAACTCAAATTATAACTTATTTTTTCAGCTTCAGGTAATATGGAAATTGCCTAATATTATAAAACAGACACTGTGAATACATCTGTGTCTTCTTTGCCTTGGAATCGTTTGATGTTAGCAGTATAAATGTGTCTGTGCCATCTATACACACTGCATCAGCTGGCTCAGTATTGCTAAGCATTTCCCCAGAAACAATATATTTATAGTTTCATATATAAAAAGGTAGCTACAATCTTCAATATCACTGCCATTATATGTTCAGTTTTGATGCAAACAGGGCTTAGTAACCCTCTTCAATATGGTGCATGTACAGTAACCTGTAACAATAACTACTTTTTTTTTTTAATTTAAATATTTATTGATTTTTCATAATGTTACAACATTCCATCATAAACACATTTTAAATATCTAAGACCATTCTACATTTTCCTCTCTAAAACTCTTCCCTCTCCCAACCCTCCCCCCCCCCCACTCCCCCCAACCTCACCCCCCTCCTTCCCCTCTGCCTTTTCACCCACTCTTTTCTATTAAAGCAAGAGAACCTTATCTATCATTCTAAGTTATAACTTCCTATATTTCACTTTCAATCCAGATTTTTACCATTTCTCATAATATAACCCCATCTTGTCTTCCTGCATATGATAACGTTTTTCCATCCTACTGATCTGATTCACTCTATTAACCCAGTCTTCCTCCTTCGGCACCTCTGTTTTCCACCAAATCTTGGGTATAAAGCTTTTTGCAGTATTAAGATAGTACCATATACCTGATTCTTTGTATTTATTTACCGATAGCTCAATGCTATGTAATAGACAAATCATTGGATCCAACCCTATGTCAATCCCAGTTATTATCTCAATCGATTTAACTATTAACTTCCAAAAAACTTGAATTTTCGGACATTCCCACCATATGTGAAACACTGTGCCAATCTCTCCACATCCCCTCCAGCACCACTTTGAATTCTCCACACTCATCCTGTGCTCAACATTCGGTGTGATGTGCCATCTTGTCAAACACTTATAATTTATTTCCACTTCTCTCATACTTATATTCTCGTGAGTCAATCTATATATCTTTTTCTGTTTATCTTAAACCACCCCCATATCTCTTTCCTATTTTATTATACAAATTAACTTTGTGTTCATGTGAAGTTCAGTGAGTATTCTATATACTTTGGCTATACCGTGCTTCTCATCCCCTCGTGACTCCAACATCCTTTCAAACAAATTCCAATCCTTTTTTAATCTCAAAGGTTACGGGAGATTCCTAATAAAACATTTTAATTGATGATATCTCCACTCATCTATCCTAATGAAGATCTCTCCTTTTTTCTCTTCCAAATCTTTAAGTGATCCCAATTCCCCCTCCGCCAATATATCTCTCAATTGAACATCTTCCTTTTTAAACCATTTCCCTGTTATCTCTTCTCTGCCCGGAGGGAAAAACTCAGTGTTTCCTAGAGGCATTAATATAGAATTGAAATCCCACTTCATATTTTTGTGCAAGTTATCCCAAACCCTTAAAACATTTAAAGTGTAAAGACTTGTGCTATTTTTCATTCCTCTATACTGTGCTGGCACCCATATAATCTTACTCATACTAGTTCCACTAAGTTCATTCTCAATTTTCACCCAACTTTTCCCTTTTGAATTATATGTCCAATCATAGATTCTTGCTAAAATTACTGCTTTGTAATATCTTTTAATATCTGGCAATCCCAATTCCCCCTTCTCTTTACTCCTGCTTAACGCTTCATAGGATATTCTTGGTTTTTTATTTCTCCATATATATCTTGTTATCATTCTTTTCATTGTCCTAAAAAAAGCTTCTGGGAGTTTGATTGGAATCATTTGAAATCTATACAGTATTTTGGGTACAATTACCATTTTTATCAGGTTTATGCGACCTATCCATGACGGGTTTCCTCCTTCTAATGTTTTTAATTCCTCCTTAATCTCATTTAACATTGAAATATAGTTTAGTTTATACAAATACTTATGTGAAGCAGTGAGTTTTATTCCTAGATATTTTATATCTCTTTCTCTCCATACAAAGGGAAATTCCTTTTGTATTTTTTCTTTTTCCCCCTTTGGTATATTAATATTCAGAATCTCAGTTTTTGTTGGGTTAATTTTTAAGTTCGATAGTTCTCCATATTCCTTCAGTACCTTCATTAGGTTTGGAAGTGTTATCCTGGGGTTCCCCACACACAGCAACAAGTCATCCGCAAAGGCCGCTACTTTATGTTCTGTAGTTTCTGTCTGAATTCCTTTTACATCCCCACTATTCCTTATTGTCGACAACAGGGGTTCCAATGACAGAACATACAAGAAAGGGGACAGCGGGCAACCCTGTCTTGTTTCATTTGACATTCCAATGGGTTCCAACCTCTCCCCATTTACCGTAATAATTGCGGTGGGCTCCCTATATAATTTTCCTATCCACTCTCTCATTTTCACTCCAATCCCCAGGGCTTCTAGGGTTTCTATCATAAAGCCCCAGTCAACTCAATCGAATGCCTTCTTGGCATCGATTGACAGCACCACCACCGGAGCTTTTCCTTTTCTGCTTATCTGAATGAGCATCAGAGTTCTCAACCCGTTATCTCTACCCTCCCTCCCTGGGACAAAGCCAACCTGATCCCCATGTATCCATTCAGGCATTAGATCTTTCAACCTATTTGCTAAAACCTTTGCGTACAGCTTAGTATCAGTGTTCAGTAACAAAATTTTTCTATAGCTAGAGCACTGAGAAGCATCTTTTCCTTCCTTGTGAATAAGAATTACATGGGCCTGTAAAGATTCTCTCCTCATCTCCATCCCACTTCCCAAGGCAT